TGTCTCATTGTATTTCCAATTGCCTTAGACTGCAGTGTAGCTTGTCTGATATTGATTGAATTTACTTCAGTCAAGTCAGCCTACATCAGTAAAAGGTCTTCTGTATGGCTACTGCTTTGGCACCTTTTTCAGAATGTATTTCACAAAGGTCATCATTTCTTTAATTTGAAAGAGTACTATACATTTTACTTAGTGTTTACTAAAAGCTACTTCATCGTGTTTATTTGTGGCCTCAGTTGCTAAGAAAAAAAAAAAAGCAAATCCCTCAAACAGATGTTGGCAGATAGAAAGGAAAAATCTAAATGTGTCAAAATGCAGTCTTTAATAAACACAGCTGTTCTCTAAAGCTACCTACATTTCATTACTTTCACCTTCTTTGGCATTTACAGCTACCTCTTCAATGGGCTTGGCTTTGCTTATGTCTAAAAAACAGCTTCCTTTTTTAAAGGCATAAAGCATTGCATTTAAAATGGGACAAAGAAAAAAGTCACTTGGCAGACTTAATACCCTACAAACGGACTTGAAGGACAACTCAAATGAAGAACTGAAACGTCAATGTACCTGTTGTTCCCTAAAGTAACCATACGCTTAACAGTATGTCATTTCTTTAAATATTTATTGGACAAGAGTAGATTCAATAAGGTTCACATTTCTCATTATTATATGACACAATTCTTCTTGCTTGAGTCATGAAACAAAGTATGATTACTGCTGGTGGCATTGCATTTCCCTTCCAGAATTTAACATAATTTGCGTACACTTTCACAGAGGTCTAAATCCAAGAACAAGGTATATTGGCATGCTTCAATAATATCTACACAGGTTTGCTAATCTTTTTACAACTGAAATTGCATACCTAAGATGGAATTAAAATATTTTCTATTATTAACAAATAGTCTTTTTTTTTTATATATATTTTTGTATTTCCAAATTTGCAAAAAATCATCTTACGCATATTGGTAATGGCTGCAGATCTATTTCCAAGTTTAGTCAGGGAAGAGTTTAACAGACTTATTGCGTAATAAGCAATTTTATCACTACTCTCCCTCTCCAGAATCCATTACTAAATATGATATTAAAGCAGTGCAGTCTGCTACTATCCAAAATATAAGAAAGAAAGGATCACCCAGTCATTTTCTAGTAAGAAGCAGGAAATATGCCTGCAATTAGTAAGTTCTCCGCACAAACAGCCATTGGGCTTAGCTTTCTATACATGGTTATTTCTTAACTGCAAATTGTTTAAGAGCTGCAGGAGACACAGCGCTGAAGTCTGCCTTGCTGGCACCACACTGCACCAAAGGTAATGAAGAAACTGCCAAATGTACATGGTGAGGGGCGGGTGATGACAGGCCTTACTGCCTTAAATTGAACAAACCCAAGATACCGTTGCTCTCAAAGTCAGGCAGAGACTAGATAGGAAATGGAAGAGATTCATCTGCACAGCCTTATTTCAGCCATCTTTCTCTCTGTTCATAGGGAATTAAGACAGCTCATCTGACTTGCTACCACATTTGTAAATGGAAATATATGTCAGCACCTGCTACTACAAGCAATCTGGACTGGTTTCTTTCCTGTTTACATGTATGTAACACTACTCCATTTCTTTCTGTCCCCACACTGCCTACATTCCCTGAATGTGGTGTTTTGGTTTGATGCTTCATTGTAATTACTCTTTTATAGGCCTGTAACCGTTATTCAGAAAGTAACTGAGGGATCCATATAGCTTGTTAGGACACTGTACTTTTCTCACATGTTTAGACTAATATTAGGTGTACCAGAATTTGGTAGAATTTTACCAGAGGATGGTTTCTAGCTGCCTCAGGATTAGCAGGCATTTGATTTCAGGCCAAACCAAAAAGGGATCTTTTTATGTTCTCAAAGCTGCTACAAGTCCTTTACTGAAACATGGGGTCCACCTGCTACTTTAATCTTTTATTTATTATGTTATTTCTACATGAACTGTTAGATACAGCAGCAAAAATGTCAGTGACATGGAGCATTGTGACTAGCTAATGGTTTACCACTTTGCATGGATGCTTATTTTCTATAATTTCCCATCTATGAATTAGCATTTATCTTGCTGATAGGGACTATTATCCAGTTGAAATCCATATTCTGCTGAAATGGATCACTTAATTAAAACCATGGTGCAATTCTTATTGTGTAGAGAAGCATTTCCCTATCATTTACAGTACACTGAGTACTGTTATAGCTACAGGAGCAGTGCGGTATAATAATATACTCCAGAATAATAATTTGCACTTATATAGCATAAAGGTGGTTAATATTTTTCAAAGAGAGCCACAGCATACCCCATTGAACTTGTTTTATTCCAATTTTACTAAGTATGATTTGACACACAAAAGCATTTTCAAATAATATTCCCACTAATCACATCAGACCTTTTCTACCCAAAATTTTGAAGGGTTTGAAGAAAATGTTCAGCTTGAAAATTCCAAAAATATTCAAATCATATAATTACTGTTTTTTTCTACCTTTAAAAATGTGATTGCTAATGAACAGATTGCACGATTTCAAAATTAGCAGTTTCACATGCTATTGAACTTTCAGTGGCAGCTGCATTTTTTCTCTTGGACAGCAAAGAAGGGTAAAAATTCCTTTTGCTATCAAAAGAATTTGGAACAGTCATATGAAGACAACATGTTGTGGTTTCCCCCCCCCCCTTACAGACTGTCCTGAACTAACAGCTGCCAAGACAGTCTCTAACAGTGCAGGTATTACTTTAACATTGCACTCTCCTAACAGCTAGAACTATCACAGAGGTGCTATGTGATTTCCAATAGGGGAAATATTGACCTTTATGACAGAAAATAAGAGGAGTGATAGAGAATAATACACTTGCTGTAGTAAAATAAAGTACTTGCACAGTAAATATCAGATACATGCTGTGGATCATTCCTACCTGAAACAGAATACAATCAAAAACCTCTTTTTGATTAGCTTTGGACACAGCTTCATCCCTCAGTCATAAAAAAGGGTATTTCTTCTGTCATAGCTGTCTCCAAGAGTTCAATTTTGGAATATTTTTTTGGTCAATTTTATCAATAGAGGGTAAAAAAATAATCCACACATAACTCCATAGGAGTATAGGCAGTATCAGTCAATGAAACATACAGATTTTATAATATATAATTTCTAAAATCTTAGGGTCATACCTCTAATTGTAAAAAGTGAGACAGCTTAGCTCTAAAATACAGTCTGTTTCTCCAGCTTAACTATTAACCCAGAACTTCATGGAGTTCCAGAAACAGCAGAAAATTGCCCTTCCTTCCTTGTCCTATTCCTATCGTTTCTGTGTCTGGTACTGATTTGGAGTAAAGAGGAGATGTTTCAGCTTGGTTGAGGAAAAGCATTTATTCCACTACCAGCTCTTTGAACCACCCTGTGATCTTTTCCATCAACTCTTCCCTAATCCACAGAACGGTGAAGACTATAACTGTTCTTTAATGTCAGTGTAGCTCTTACTTCATCATTGCTATGATTACTACAACATGACTAAATCTCTCAATGATATCTGGAGGTGAGACTATGAATTATTTAACATGGAAAAGGGAAAAGGATTTATCAAAATCTACAATCTCAACCTGATTTCTCAGTTTTGCAGTGAGGGCAAACCATTTCCTTGTTATTCCATTTGTGAGTAGGCAGCAAGCCACTCACTTCAGACCTTCCCTTCAATACAGGATAAGTCTTTCCTTAAACTAAATTTCAGGTCAGTTATGGTTTAACTCCAGCACTTTGACCACTTTAAAGCAGTAGTAAGTAGCTTTTAATTATACGTTCTATTAATATATGGTGAATCTTAGGTGCTGGAAGAGTGATGTGATGAAGAATCTCAAACAGCTAATGCTTGAGCTTTGTTAAAGCTAAAAGCAAATAAATAGTTTGTGAATAGCCTTAATGTGATTAAAAACTACCATTGCTAAGGAATAATTTCCATATTCATCAACTAGGTTTAACAAGTACCAAGGTGAATGTAAAATTCAGTGTTTTTATTGAGTTAATGGTAATAAACAAACTTTTTATTTACTTAGTCTGTTAAACTAAATTGATTTACTTATATAAACTATTGAAGGAAGAATTAGTATATAGTAGTAGCAGACAAACTATTGTTCAGCTGCAAGGTCAGTTGTGCATTATATATTTTTAATAAACTCAGTGAATCTCTTATGAAAAATTTTCAAAGAGAAGCCAAACAGTATTAATACTTAAGCATCAACTTATTTCAAAACATTTCATATGGTATCAGCAATAAGATGTGTCATGAGAGAATGCATAAGAAGTTAAAGGCACTTCTAGATCACAGATCTGCTTCTAAAAACAAATTGCATGAGTTTGTTTTGCTATCATAGTGTAACAAGAAGTCTTGACTCATTAGGAGAAAAAAAGGCTAAACATACCTCAAGTTAGCTAAAGTGCTAATAATGTGGTGCTATTTAACAACACCAACAGGACATCAAACTTCTAGACTGTCTTACAGATCTTGACACGTGAAAGCTTCAATATCTATCCTGTACACCAGAATTTTATCTCACGCTAGTTATGCTAGCATGAAAGAGCTCATTTTATCTCATGCCAGTTAGTTTCTCTGCTAATCCAAGATCAGATTACCATGGGCAATGCAGCAAAATTTAAAATACCAGTTCACTCTACACAGAGCCAAAGCCACACTGAAGGAGGGAATCAGAGGGCAAGGTGACAAAGAGAACAGCTCATTCCCATACATTGGCACTGGAGTAAGAAAGGGTGTAAAAAACCTGAAAGCAGTTGAGCAGTAAAAATGATTTTGTCAACATTTCACCTAGTTGTCAACTTGCTTTTATGCAAGGATACCTGGTGCTCATACCCACCAGAATAGGTACTGAGGTGAGCTCTTGTTACTCCACTTACAAAGTTAACTCTGCTGGTAAAGTAAGAATTCTTCGTTTACTCACTTTAATAAGCAGTGCTGCCCACCAATTGGTGGTGACAGTGATCTTCAAAATAGTGATGTTTACCATCACAAGAGAGGAACTGAAGGAGAGACACAAATCCATGGTTTTCCTCCATCTGTTTGATCACTAGCTTCTACCTTCCATTCATTCCTATTCTTTGGTTCTAGTGGAAAATATCATATAAGAAATTGCTCCATTTCATCATCTCTGAACTCAAAATCTGATTAAGGAGGAACAGTTTAAAATACCTGTTCTGACTTCCTGCTGAGCTGAAAAGAACTAATTGAGTTTATAGCCAACAGTTTACAGGTAAGAGATCTTAATAATACTCCCCAAAGTGTATGTTGCAGGGTCATACACATTTCCTGCATTGGGTAAGCAAGCATTGCTGGTTAACTCCTTGGTCTGTATGAGCACTATGCTGCAATGTCTAAGCTGTAAACCTTGCTGAAAGCACTTTACATTCAAACAATCTTTCCTCGCTGAAATTAAATAACCTAGGTCAAGAACCCAGTCTTTACTATGTTGATCTCCATACAAGTTAATCAGAATTTCATCTGAAGTTCGAAATACTGCAGAGCTCTGTATGTAAAAGTTATACCTGAAGCGTATTCAGTGCTAAACCTGAATCGTGCATTTCCCTGAACCATGCATTCACCAAAGACTATCATTTTGAGAGTGATCAGCTTTCCATATTAGTCAAATTGCAACAGTATATTTGGTGACATAACAGGGAGAAAACACATAACTACATGCTTTGATTACATTTTTTCATTTATATTTTCCCTTTTCAAAATGACCCGCATTTCAAAATTGATCTAGAGGTTGAAGAAGGACCAAAATCCAGAGCTAGAGCATGGGGAGGGAACAAGAAGGGTTATCTAACATGAAAATAAACTGGTGCATTTACAGTTAAACAAAACGCACCCAACTGATGTGGATGCAAATAGTGGTTCGAGACAATACTGTCGATCACAGACCTAGCATTAATAAATGCTGTAGTAAAGAAGCACATTTGTTAAAACTTTGCCTCCAGACAATACAACTATGTTAGGAGGGGGCGGGAGATCCCCTTTCTGATATTTTCATCTGGCTGAAGTTAACGTAGTTGCAGGTACGAAAATATTTTAGAGTTCGTTTTTTTGTTTTTTGTTTTTTTCCAGAAACTGATTTTTTTGATAGATGCCTGGACAGTGAGCTATGTCCATCTGCATGAGGAGGACTTGCCAGCAAAACTGAATCAGTATGGCTAATTTTTGCTTGCTTACTCTAAGTCTGGTCTGAGCTGGTTTTAGCCAACCTCTTAACACATTTATTTCACCCTTGAAATACCACTTCAACTTTTAAAATAGCATTGTGTGCTTCTTAAACTGTAGCTGTTTCTGAATATAGATACAAACTTGAAAATAATTCTGAATGAGTTAACCAATGTTACATAAAAAGAGGTAGGACAATTTCAAACTGTAGTAAGCAGAGGAAGGAGTAGGGGGAGAAAAACTAAAAGAGTAATAATTCCTCTGCTTCTTCCCAGAGGCAAAATTCTGAGGCTGCGAATCTTTATACCATAATTTAGTAGGTCAACCCTACAGCTAAGAGAACTACTAATTTTTAATGACATGTGTGGCAATTTTTGCCATTTCTCCTGCTTCAAACTGTGAGCAGATTTTCATTTCTCTATGGGTTTTTATTATAGAAATCATTCAAGCAAACAACATCCACATGAAGGCCAGGTACATATGCTTTGTAAACAATAATGCTGAGATTAAAAGATAGAAGTTTTACATTGAATTCCACCCAGTAACTGACTTCAGTAGGATCTTATGCTAGTCCATGTACTAGCAGTTACTTAGAATCCAGTATTGTTTATAACCTCCAACTTAAAGGTCTTTTTTGCATTTTAAAGAATAACAACCTGCAAACATACAGGTGGTTATGTGCAGTCTCCATAGTTTTGCACCTGAGCTTAGAGGCTTCCCAAAGAAATTGTTTGGCAGTTTTAAAAATCCTTCTTATTTTACAACATCACATAAGCATACTTTTGCAAAATACATTTATGGAGAAATGATCACAGTAAAGCTGACAATCTGATTGTGTAGTTTCAAAACAACATAAATTAAAACAGCTATATTAGCATAAAAAGCCTCTATTTTAGAAATTTATTAAGGAAAAGCTGAGCAAACTTTAATTACAGCATCATTTCCCATGCCACCGTATTACTGACAGGTCTATTGCCTCTTGCTCCAAGGCAGGATTATAGCTTTACTCAAGGGCTTTCTGTTTGAGAACCTCCTGCAAAAGCTTTCTATGACAAAGTGTATGAGTAAAGCTCCTAGAATTGCACTGTCTAAATCAGCATAGCTCAGTGTTTTTCAAAATGAAAATCTGGCATCCTATGGGAGTCCTGATCACTTCTAGAGCAAGCTAAGTCCAGCAATAACACAAGACAGACTAGAGTTCTGAGGTACTGGCAATGGGAGCCATAAAACAGCTAGATGAGACTGGTAGTATTCAAAAACATTAAATTCAAGTGTTATGATTACTTCTTCACCATTAGCTCAGACACCTTGCTTATAGCACACTTTCAATGGCATAAATTAGATAATTATGATGGAAGTCTGGTCTAGGTAATACACTGAGCCTCATCTCCAGCTGCTACAAAATGTCCTATCACCATTAAAGTCACTGCAGCTTTGCTGATTTAGATCAGCTGAAAATCTGGTGTAATAGACAATATGTTACTATAGTCATTAAGTGGATGAGTTAGAAGGTGCAGAAGCAGGCCAGGAATGTCAAAGCCTGAAGCTTTCTTTTTCTTGCTTATCTCAGAGGGGTGTGTGCAGGGAAGCAGTGTAATCAAATCTGGGAATGTTTTTAAAAGGTAGAAGAAAACGTTAAGAAAATACAATGGCTAACACTGCTAAGGATGAAACAAGCCTTGTTTTCTCATGCTCTTAGTGACAATAATCATAGAGAGCCACTAAAGACTAGGAATTTCAAGGAAGATCTTTGAGCAACTTGATCTAGTGGAAGGTATAAGTCTATGGGGCCTGATGCCATGCATCCCAGGGTCCTGAGGGAACAGGCTGATGTAGCTACCAAGCCTCTCTCCATCATATTTGAGAAGTCCTGGCAGCCAGGTGAAGTCCCCTGTGACTGAAAAAAAAAAAAAAAAAAAAAAAAAAGGAAATATCACACCCATTTTTAAGGACCTGGGGAGCTATAGATCAGTGAGCCTCACCTCTGTGCCTGGCAATATCATGGAAAAGATCCTCCTGGAAACCAAGTTAAGGCACATGCAAGACAAGGAGGTGATTTGAGACAGCTGGCATGGCTTCACCAAAGGTAAATCATGCCTGACCAATTCAGTGGCCTTCTATCATGGAGTAACTGCATGAATCAACAAGGGAAGACCAACAGATATCAACCACCTGGACTTTTCAAAGGCCTTTGACACGGTCCCACACAACATCCTTGTCTGTGACTTGGAGAGAGAAGGATTTGAAAGGTGGAAAATTCAGTGAACATGGGAGTGGCTGGATGGCTGCAGCCAGAGAGTTGCGGTCAACAGTTGTATGTCACGGTGGAGGCTGGTGACAAGTGGTGTCTCTCAGGGGTCCATCTGGGGACCAGTGATGTTTAACATCTTCATTAATGACATAGAAGTGGGATTGAGTGCACCCTCAACAAGTTTGCAGATGACACCAAGCTGAGTGGTGCAGTTGATACACGAGAAGGAATGGATGCCATCCAGAGTGACCTAGACAAACTAGAAAAGTGGTCCCATGTGAACCTAATGAGATTCAACAAGGCCAAGGCAAAGTGCTTCACACAGGTTGAGGCAATCCCAGACATGAAGACAGACTGGGTTCAGACCTCATCGATAGCAGCCCTACAGAGAAGGACTTGGGGTTCTGGTGGACAAAAAATTCAACAGGAACTAGCAGTTTGCACCTGCAGTCCAGAAGGCCAATCTGCATCCCAGACTCCATCAACAGAAGAGTGGCCAGCAGGTTGAGGAGGACCACGTACAAGTGCTGCTGAAAGCAAGAGAGCACAAAAATCAAATCCTTTGTTTTCAGCTACATAATATACCAATTTCTACAAAAGAATCTCAATACAAACCTAGCAAAAGCTAAAAAAATAAAAATTAAATTAAAAAAAAAAAAAAAGCATATCTATGTAGGCAAAAACAGGTAATTCTGAAACTATCTCCAGTTAACTTGCAAGTACACAACCTATCTCTATCTAACAACTGCAGATCTCAATGTTAATTTTTGTGATATCTTAACAATTAGATATCAAGAACAGGATAGCCATTTGTTACATCTGGAGAAATACACAACATGTGATTTCCTGTGTCACTGCCTTTTAAGTTTTTATTTTTTTGCTGCTTGTCCTTTAAGTGATCTAAACGTCCAGAAAGTGAAAATAAGTACTATCCTGAAAGACTGAAGATAATCTCATACCAAAAGGGCAGGTCTGCAACAAAGGGTGTGCTGAAGTAACACAACTTCAGCTTCATTCTGGCCCTAGATTCTGAAGTTGTAATTACCAGTTGTTTATGGTAAATATACCATATCTGGACCAGAGCCCTACACCTTAACCTTCAAACTCTTTCCTTCAGATAGACTCTTTGCAACTAAGATTATTAATAAAAACACCTTTCAGAGCATTACTTTGTGGACCAACAAATGAAAGAAATCATAGCTGAAAAGTCCATCAAAGGCTACAGCTTCTCCTTGGGCTATGCAGAGCTCTCTAGCTTCTGCATTAGTCCAGGATAGAGGACAGAGTATATATCTCTTATAGATATTTTAAAAGGAAAAAGAGGGCCCTGATGAGGGTCTGAACATCAGCCTAACCCTACTGTTTAAGTTCTATATTTAGGCTTCTAGGCTCTGCTAGTTATATTCAGCAAAGCTGTTTTTCTCTTCTGTTACCATAAGACTCGATGAATTTGCTCAGGACTGTTTATAACCCAGCTTAAAATAGCCTACACCTATCTCCCACGTTGCACAAAGATGCTCATCCTCACACGTTCTTGCACAGCCGTTCACTACTTATGCTGCCTCCAGGCTTCACAGTTTTTGCCAAGATCAAGAGATGATGTGTCCTCACATTGCCCAGTAAAGAACTGAAATTAGCAATGCCGAGACAGCTGTAATTCGGAACCATCGTTACAAAGATGTTTGAGTGTTGCTGATAGCAGGTGTATGACACCAAAGCAAACAACAGCTAAAAGTGGGATGGCTGTAACTCAGGGGTCCACAGTGACATCTACTGGAATGATTCAGCTTGAAGTGCTATTAAAAGACGTATCGTTAAAGCTCACAGAAGAGGCTTTTTTCCTTTCAGTATCAACAGCATGGAAATTGATAATATGAAATCATCTATAATCTTGAAAGATGAGCAGACCATGCAAGAATTCAGTGCCTCAGTCTGAGGCAAGCTACAGAGTATTGAACCTAGCTTACACTGAAAAATGAGTCCCAAGCCCTTTGGCATGCTCATCTGCTACCTTCTTTTTTTTTTTTTCCACCCTCACACTGAAGCCTAAAAAACAAAGACTCCAAGTACTTTCACAGTGTAGTCAGAAATAATACGTACATAGGCTGGCATCCTCTTTTGCTCGTTTCACTGAAAGCACAGCTCCTGATCAGAGTGGGAGAGTCGCCAGCTTCCTAACAGTGTTAAATCCTTCCAAGTTTTCTCAACCATGGATTTTTCCCCTTTTTTCAAAGCAGACTGTTAAAATCCTCCAAATCTAAATTGACCGAGTTGAGCATGCTCCTAGAGCATATCAAGCACATTTGAAAACTTGGAACTGCTTTTCAGCAGCAGTTGTAATAAGATTTTAACAATACTAATTCCATTCAGCAGTTCTACTTCCATGGCCTTTTTCTTTACTTTTTTTTTTCCCCTCTTGTCATTGTTAACTGAAATGTCTGTCTTTAAAGCTGAAGTACTTCATGTCATTAACAAAAAACAATTTTGGCACTGCAGGGTCAAGCCCTTTCAGATCACCTTTCCATATGCTGAGATCAGAGAAGGCACACACATCTGAGATGCCTGATCATCTTGATGGCACAAGTATGTAGTACTTTTGGGGATACAGATGACCATCCAGCCCCAGCACTGACTGACTGTAAGAGGAGGCCTGTTAGGTCTTTTTTTTCCCCCCAAACAACAGCATCTAAAATAAAGGAGAAACTAGCAGTCAATAGCAAAGAAAGAAGAATCTAGCAGTCGAAGGACAACAGAGAAGTCCACTGCACATCTCACAGGATTCAGAGCAGCCACAAGATTGGGTGTCTTAAAGCTTACAGGAGGTGACAGCAGGAGAGGGAGGGAAAAAAACTGTATGAGAAACAGACCTCACTGAAACTGGAGAAAGAAAACTTTTGAAAATTTCCTGGAAAGAAAAAGCAGTAACAGGTCCTACATATGATGCGTTCTCTCCCTCAAAATCAAATGCAAAATATAGAAAAATCTGCAGAAGATGACTCATGAATTATTGTAAACCAAATTATTTCATTTATAAACTTTGGGTACCCACTTATGAATCCTTGATGCATGTGCTATCATGACCATAAGCTTATGCTTTACCTGGGCATGTAATATCTAACGTGCAGGCATCCTACCTATGGTACCTTCAGATCCAAAATGGGTGCCCAACCTCTTCACATATTGCATGGGAAGACAAAAAGTAGCGTCAGGATGGAGCTGGGAAACTTCATGACCTAACCAGCTGGGAAAGATACAGAAAATGGGTGGCATGGAGAGCCTAATTTGGCATATGACAAGCAGGCTTGGTATTCGGCACTATGAGCGCTTTCCTGAAGTTGGTTGCATATATAACTCAGTTGCTTAGGCCACACAGATCAATTTGCATAGTCCATCTGAAAAGCTAAGAAAAGACCAAAAGAAGGAAAAACACTTCAGAATAACCGGTAGCCTACTAGTTACATCATTCACCCAGCATACATGAGATCTTACTCCAAATCATAGCAACTAAGGACAAATAATTATATTTATGAAGGGCTTAATACTATTTTGAAAGCCTGGAAATATCAACTACTTCAAGGTCTAACCAGAAAAAAATGGAGATGGAGGAGATGCTGCTGCTACATAGGACACTGGTTATGGATGTAGGTGCCAGCTGAGTGACAATTCAGAATATGATGGTAACTAAAGGTAGCCTGAGATGACCAAAGGAGCAAAAGAACAGATTCAAAAATTGTTTGAACATATAATTTGGTTATCACAACCTTGAACACTATAGAATCACAGAATCATCTACGTTGGAAGCGACCTCCAGGATCACCAAGTCCAACCCCTGACCTAACACTAACAGTCCTCCACTAAACCATATCCCTAAGCTCTAAATGTCTTTTAAAGTCCTCCAGGGATGGTGACTCAACCACTTCCCTGGGCAGACCATCCAATGCCTAACAACCTTTTTGGTAAAGAAGTTTTTCCTAATATAGAGGTTAAGTTAAAAGACAGAGCACATCACCTAATTTTCAACCAAAACTCATTGATGAATATTTTGAAACCGCATGGAATATGAGCAAGCTATTATAGAAACACAAATCGCTTATCATTAAGCAGAGGGAGGGAAAGGCATCTCTATGATAAAGCTCTATTCTATAAAAAAATATTAAACAGCGATTTAATCCATCTGACAGCTCTAACGCTTCAAGAGCTTCAAAAATTTCTCAGCTAGAAATGTAGTTGTGCCAAAAATGTGTCAAACGGGCTTTTAAGAAGTCATGCCATCTGCTATGTTAACATTGCAATTCTTGATCATTGGCTTTAGCTCTGAACAATTCATGAAATGGATGAATTATTTTTCAGTCTCTTCACAGCCCTACAGCACAAACTTAACCTGCTATCTTGTCCACCCTGTAAGACAGAGAAGATGTAAGGGACATTCCCTAATGAGACTGCAGTGTTAACTCCTTTGGGAACCACCTGGTAATAAATATACCATGCAGAAGGTGGTAATTATTCCTCTTTTATAATTTCCAGCTGTTTGAACTGTTGTCATTCCTCCCATCCTACCTCAGGCCCAATCAAGCCTTCTGCTAGGACCCCTCTGTCCCCCTGCAAGCATTCACACAAGTCATATAAGGAGGCACCTCCTCAAATGTTTGAACTGTTAGGTCATTAGACCCCTCTATAGAATAAGTGCCTACAAGACATAACTATTAATTAATTAATTGCTATTTGATGCCAGGCTGATGCCAGTTCCCACCCCAATACCCCACAACAAAGCACCATCTTCCTGGCCAGGCCAGGATACTCCATCAAATCCTGGTTATTCAGTGCTACCTAGTAAGTATTGTTAGTCTTCTCTGCTCATACCCAACTGCAACCAACTGCTGGCTGTCCTCATCACAGGTCATTGCAATGGAGCATTTAGTTAGCATATAGTCAGCTGGATGAGAAAATACTAGATTGGCCACAGATCCCTCCGTGATCTGATAAATATTTATCCTCTCACAAAATTTCAAACTTTTCTCATATGAAGATATATTTTTTTATTATTTTTTTTCTGCCAAAAAATGTCATGAAAGTCATCATCCAATATAATTGCCTCCTTAGGCAGGAGAAGCCCAACAAATGCATTCTCCCCTCACTGCTGGGCTGGTGACTGATATGTCCCTTACATCAAAATGCCACATTAGGAGAATATTGGGCATCTTCCAGGATCTCTTTGATGTAGCAATTATCCCTTCAACCCTGATAACTCAAAAGCCACTGCAAAGACCTGGGTAAAGTTGATCTGCTACAAAAGTTTATGGATGACAAAATTGTGAAAGGAGGTGTTGACACCATACTATCAACCACACACCTGACCTGCAGAAATAAGATAAACTAAAGTCAGTCCTATGCTTTAACACCTCTTTTTGCTAGACCATAAATAACATGGAAACCTTGGTGACTCTTAGAGCTAAGTCTCACTGTTTGATGTGACCATGCCCACATACAAACCAGTCCATGAGCTGTTTAATTAGGAGTAAAATAGGTGTAACAAATTAAAAAACAGGCAATAACCACCCCCAGCAACTTGAAGCCTAGTTGCTCACATTTTGCCATAATGACTCTGTTAGCCCAGAAACTCATTCTTTCATTTGTAAACTGCTCTCTCCAAGTAATTACTTTGCCAAAGTGCTGAGGAATCAATAAATCATGGTGAAGAGAGTGGCAGGCATCACTGCAGCTGAAGCTGGTTATTGGATAGTCCCAATTCTTTTCTGAATGTTGCTGACTTTAATCTACATTTTACATGGTAGCATGCTGTTCCTCCATCCCTGCCAGGGGTGTAGGGAGGCAGCTCTGAGGTAAATTTATGAAGAAACAGTAATCCTCAAATAAGTTGCAATTTTATCAACCTTCAGCCAGCAAATTCTCACTCCATTTAGCGTGTGTTTAGTACTGTGATGGCATGAAATTGGTAGAGGTAAATGTGGCTGCTTACACATACACAGCACGATGACTTCAGTTTGTAAAACAGAACACCAAAAGGTACATATAACAACAGCACAAGACATCTCTTAATCATACCGAGAGCTCTTCCAAAGCCTCTCTCTGCTTGTTTTTTTGTTTTCTCTTTCCCTTGGAAGGCATTCATCCCATCTATAGCCTCTACACATTTTTCCATAAATTTCCATCTTCTCACTATTCAGACATCCTTGAGGTCTAGAGAAGAAACTAAAAATAAAATCCAGCTATATTTTTCTAAAAGACATTCAAAATTAGCTATAAAACAATTTATAAAATGCTAGCTGCAGTGAGCTCAATTATAAATACTGCTGTTAAGATCCTGCAACTTTTCCCCCTCAGACACATCAGATCTGTCTCCTGAAGAGGTTTCTGATTCAAATAGGATCTACAAACCATAAAGAGTCATGCTAACATACTGCAGTCCAAACACATATAAAGCTTCACAATGATCAAAGACAACACTTGCAAGAGATGTTCTTTCAAACACTCTGTTTCTGACACTCAAATTCTCTACATCAACACTCTCCAGCAAACTGTAAAAACAACACTTTAAGGGGTGTCACGTTTGTAGTAGTTTGTGTTTCCTATTTAGTATTATATTTCACTTCCTCCTACAAGTATACATGCGGGTTTTTCTCTCCTGCAATTTCTCTCTTCACCTCTGGAACTCAGCATTATAGAGAAAACTTAATTATGCAAAATGTTCTCCAAACCAGCACAGCTAGTTAATGCAATGTTCTGTCTTTTGACAAAAACAACCAAGTCACTAAGTTTTCTCAGGAAGTAAATGCAACAGAAACATTTACAAAGCTTTCTAGGGAAAAAATGGTGAATGTTAAAAATCTTAAACTTCCAGCATGCAAAAAAAAACTGTTTCCCATCAAAATAGTACATTTATGCACTAGTCACATATACGTTATCACCAACTCATATGGCACATTCCCAGCTATACTGAGACTGTCAATAATTCTCTCATCGGCTTCATGAGGACAAGCTTCTCCTTCTAGATTCTAAAGATAGAAAGAACCAAAATGATCTAGCTGAGATGCAGAACACCAACAACCATAGAAAGTCATCACTTGTTTCCATGTTGAGTCAAAATAATTCACACATGAACTGGTACGTGTATCTGTCCAAAAGTATCCAGTTCCATTTCAGGATTTTGCCCAGGGAACTGTATACACTTTTCTGTTTTTTGTTTTTCTCATCTGGCTGATCTTTGTAGGTCTTTGTTTCATACAGAAATTTCCAGAGTCAGGTAGCTTTCCCTCGCACAAGAGAGTTTAGGCATCAGTAGTTACTTCTTAACCTTCTTTTCAGTATATTAATATTTATAAACTTTATTTATAATTTAAAGAAGAAAATCTCAAAAATACGCTGCTGAGTCATTGGGGATGAATAGAATGACTCACAAAGACTTAGATGGTAACACAGTTAATACAAATTGTGCACTGTACCAAATGTTCCCTTGTCTGGGATCTAACAATCCCCAAAATTCTGCTTTCTGTGAAGAATGAAACTGTTTAACGTGCCTCGTGGTGCTTGGGTTATAAGGCCATTTTAATCATGGTGGTTTGGCTAGACTGCATACATAGGACACATCAATGAGCATCAAAGACACCATTTCATCTATTTTCCAAGCAATTTTCAACAGCCCATCATCTCGGGCAGCAGTGAGTCACAGTGCAGGCTGCTCACAGATGAGTGGTGATGCGCAGAGATTCCTGCACAGCTATCATCATCACCACCATCAGCGAGAGGTTTGGTTTCACTCAACAAACTTTTTGAATAAATAGTTTTCGATCCTTAAGAAAACGGACATTTCCAAACATTTCAAAATACTCAATTCTAGTGCAGATATTATTAAACTACTCTTTTGGAAAGCATCATTTATTCCTGCAGAGCTCATTAACAGTTCCCCTTGGTGTTTTAATCTCAGACAAAAGACAAGTCCATTTCTTCCTGCTATTCAGGCTATGGTATAATGGAAGCATGGGATCCCCTTTAGGGTCTGTTGGTCATACACACTGTAACAGGGGCTCAGGAACTCTTAAGGCATGTCTGTAGCACTAAATAAAAAGGCAGACACAGAGAAAATTTGAGTACCAGACCTTTGCCTATTTGCATTGCTTCATTGTTAGTTCAATTTTAGATATGTTTTAAAATGCACCAAAGAGGTCTCTAGAGTTTGCTATCCAGGAAGAATGCTCTAAGCTGCATTATCCTAAGCCTGTCAACACCACTCAGCCTTGAAACCAAGAACTACTGTCTGCCTTCTTTCATTTAGCAATGGAGTTGCACCTGTAGGGACATTTCTGGGTGGGACGAGAGTGCATGAAAAACACTGTCCTTCAATTTGCATCAGTCACAACTAAGTTTAATCCAGAAGAAATCTTTACAAAGTACTCAGAAAAATGAGACCTACCAGTTTTGATCACTTGTGCCAAATGGAGAGAAAGAGCTGTGAAACATGTTTGAGAAAGAGCCTGTGCCACTTCCAACATCTTCATGCTTAAAGGAAAATGCCTGGGGGGAATGGGAGGAGAGGAAAGGAAGCTGAGGAGGGAGGGAAGTGGTTAAGATGCAGCTGAAGGAAATAAAGGCTCTGATTGAGTAAGGTTGTGGTTTGTTGTTGTTTTGATTTATTTTATATTTGTTTGCTTGGTTTTATTTTTGTGGGATGGGGAATTTGCAACCTTTCAGAATCTCGCCTGACTTCTCTCAGTTTAAAAGATGAATTACATATCGAGATAATAGCTGCTACAAGCTTTTCATCTAAAGCCTGAAAGACAAATGTCATTAATTTTGTTCATCACTTTAAATTGGGTCCAAGTAGTGAATTAGATCAATGTAAATCTTGCAGTCTCCCCCCCTTTTTATTTCTTTTCCCCATCTTGAACACTACAACTGTTAAAAAAAAAAAAAAAAAAAAAAAAGTAACAAAATAGACCATACAAATTACCTTAAATATACCATACTGAACTGCAAGAGACTTCTCATTCACATCACTAATTCGATTGTTTCATACTAACTACTTGTCTATTCCAAAGCTAATTTAAAACCTAATGCCTAATGTTGAGGTCTGAATTTTTATATTTAACAGCAACATGAGCAACATGCAGTATAAGACACCCTGCCCACCCTCCCTTCTTTTCTTTTCTTTCTTTTTTTTTTTTTAAGCAGATTCTGCAGCAGCTGTCAGATCTGTGGTGTCTAAGATCAGTTTCCATGGATATAATTAGCTCTAGATTCTCCTCCATCAGCACAGCTTCTTGGCCCAGTATGATTAATTCTCCACTGCAAGTGTACATCACAGACAAAAGGATGCCTTGCATGCACTTTAAGGAGAATTCAGAGAAAAAAGGGGTCTTCTTGCTATCCTATGCCACAGATTTCAAATCCTATCTACTCCGCCCTGTGCCTGTTTATTGCCAAACCTTTAATTTTGCTATGTCTTCCATCTATCCTTGTATTTTTACTGATGCTCATAGCTACAGTTCAAGTTACACAGTTTATCACACCCATTCATAATACAAGTCAAGCAATATCACTAGTGCATAAAACTTAATTTCAGTGGTTATCTACAATGAATGCCAAGTGAAACGAAAAAAGTACATCTATAACTCCTTTCCAGAAACCTCTGTCCAGTCTTTCACTCCTTCATTTCCAACCACATCACTTGTTGAGGAAAACTAATGCTTAACTTCAAATTTGAAGAAATTCAGATAGTTATGAAACATTGTTCTAATCTTCCACACTTAGGAAAAGAGAGTGAAAAAGACTGTAAAGACTGATGTCAAAATGTCTTTCTACACAGATTAAAATAGAAGATGAGAAGACTAGATAGTTTCCTAAAATCATCAATCTAAAAGAGAGGATTGTGATGAAAATCTTCATATGCTGCATGAGAGTACAGATACGGAGAATGAAAATGAATAGCAGACAATTAAATAGATAGCTCTAATATCATTAGAAAAGAGGGAAACTTTAAAAAAAAAAAAAAGTTGCCTAACTGCAGCCTTTTACTTTTTTTCTTTCATTTTACACAAAACACGAGGATGTAAAAATATGAACTTACAATAAATACAAACTTTAAACAAGATATAAAGAAGAAAGAAATCATACTATAGAAACAGAAACACAAAAACAGGACATGAAGAATAACATTAGAATAGAGACAGTTCATTGTCATACAATACTCCATTCAGTTTATCATCATGCAATACACTATTTATGCTCATATACACCAACTAGATACTGAATGGTAAATTGGTAGTCATAGATAAGACTTTAAATCTTTTGTCTTTCAAATATTTTATAAGGTGCTGGGAGGAGCAAGTTTCCAGGAAATTTCAGTACTGAACATATTGCTCAGTACCAGAATCTCTATATGGGAAGATGCATTTGGATATTCAAGATACAAAGCAAACAACTTCAAGTCAACATGAACTTCAACTGATTCCAGTTACTACTCAGTAGAGAAATCCACCAATGAACTTCTTTCTAACTTTGCTGTCAGCTACAGATCTCTCCACTGCAGAAGAGAAACACAAATCCTTAAATAACAAAAGCTTCTTAGAGGTGCATTCACATCACACATGGGTCTTATTAGTTCAAAAATACAGTCTGGCAATTAAATAAAGAAAAATCAGGAGTTGCCTTAGAAATAATAATTAGTGATCAAGAACTGAATTCTCTCCCTTTCATGACAAGAAGAACAAATAAATAAATAAAATAAAATTTATTCAACGTATTGTTAACCTTAATATTTTATCAAAAATGTGATTTTAACACAGCAAGTTTTTTTGACAGGAAGGACAGTGAAAGTGTTAAATATAACATAAATCTGTGTTGAAAGCCTGGCCCTACTGAACTTGGCACTTTTGCTACAAAGTTCAAAAGCAGGCTTTCACATGTATTTTGTACGTGTATATTCTGTACCATACATCTTAGTCAAATTTGTGCTGCAGGTATTTGCATGTATAATACAGAGTCCACTGGAAAGACCCTTTCTGGTTTGTGTGAACGTCAGATGAAGATCTGAATAGCATCCTGTCTTAGCCTCTTTATTTTAAAACAAAGAAGGAAGGAGAATGGAAGCAAGGAATAACTAAAAATTCCATGAATTATAGGCAATTTATTTTATACCGCCATGTCATTGGTTTATCAATCTGTATTCTATGTAGAAAGCCTGATTTCATTCCTTCCTGTGGCCCAGTAGGAAGAAGAAAGTCTGGATATTTGAATTCAGCACCATAGCACAAGAAATGGAAAACCTCAAGTCAAAAGAGATCCAATTGATTGCTTCCCTACATACACACTTAAAGTATACTTTCATTAATGTTAACTCTACAATGTGCTCTGGAATGTGAGTGATTTATTACGTGGGAGTATAGGCCTATGTAGATTAAAATTAATTGGGTTTTCATTAAATTGAAAGCTGCGATAAGGTCAAACCACTAAAAAAGGGGGGTGTCGCTATCTTTCAAATTCAATTTCAGAAATTCACCTCAGTAGAAATTTCCTACATGGGAATGGTGAAGGTAATCGCATTGATTAAGAGGACAGGTTGCTCATTCTCGAATAAGAAAAGCCTGGAATTGAGATGCTTTAAAAGTACAAAAGAAAAGTGGTTTGGGGTTGAGAGCAGTTCACATGGCATCTGATGGTGATGTCAGGTAACTTTTGCAGGGATCAATGAAAGCAGTAAGGCAAAAATCACATCCATGCATTCCATACCATCTGTAGAGCATCTACCAGGTAAGGCTTCATCCTAAGGCATCCACTTCATCACAAGAAATACATTATATGCTGGGAGGGTATGTAGAAGGACAGTGTAAGTTCCTGCAAGTGTATCTGGTCAAGGACCTTTTCCAAAGCAGCAGGGATAAGAAGAATGGGAGGCAGTGATGGGAACCAAGTCACTCACACTAATTTATGAGAGCAGACAAGAATGAGCAGGGTTGACTAATGGAGGACTTCTCAGGTGGGAGAGTATCACAAGAGCAGACCTCGCAAACACTGGGACTGGTGCAATGTGTGTTCCCAAACCAGACCCCAGGGCCCTGGGCACCAGGCTGGGCTCCAGCAGATAGATAGGCACAGTCCCGGGCAGGAGCAGCTGGAGGATGTGGCTGCATGTTTGTTGTATTTCACCTGCCTTAATATACACATGAAAATGCCTAAATCCCTTGTTTTTACAGTTTAAAGGTGCAACTCAAAATGGAAATGGGAGGAAATAGTAAAGTTGCTTCTGAGAGTTCAAGCACCATCCACAGCTAATCACCTGCTGTCCAGGAAATACACACTTAATCTTCCGGATAATTCAGGAAAGAGAATCTAACACAGTGAGCATTTTCAGTTTATTTTGATTTTAACCCAGTACATTTCCCAGTACCATGATAACATCAGAGTTCTGTGGAAAGGGCTGGACTGCAATCTTGTTTGTCCATTTGCTAGACGCCCTAAACGTGTGCATAGGAAACTAAGTCTTCTTTGAAAAACTTAATAGATTTTTTCGGTCCCTAGCAGAATCAGTCAGCAAAAAAAAATTAAATATCAGTAGCCTAGAAAAGGATTGGGAAGAGCTGTTGACAGTTCTGCCAACAAACATTGCCAAAATAATATTCTGTGTTTTGGATTCCCAGCTTTTTTTTTTTTTAATAACTATATTTTATTCTGATTTAATCCTTCTGGTTATAAAAATAGCTTCAGAAACAAAGACTGATGACAAAAAGGTTTGACTAATTGCAATTTTGAATGGGGTCTCTATAGGTAGACAGTATTCAGTGTCATAGTAATGATTACTACATTTTTATAAACGTTCAGCTTTTTAGGGTTAATCATTTTTGTTTTTCAGTGATCTCCAGTGATAGGGCTGATTTCCAGTGCTAGTATTTTAAAAACAGTGGAGTATTTACAAAAATTATAGCCTTTCCCTAAAAAATGTTTATGATCTTAATGACAATGAACTTGCTTAAGCTACATTCTTCTGTTTTCCTCTTGCCCTCTATCCAATGAACTTTTTAATGCAAGGTGCTGTAGGTAACTGGCTGTAACTAGACATCTGCTCACCTGATCCAGGGACAGGCTGATCTATCAGATATAGTCAGTCATCACAATAATTTGAAACAGCAGTCATAAGTTAACCCTATTTTTATGAACTTCAGCTTTCCAGAATATGTGGATCTGACCCATAATCACCATTCATTTCAGCTCTTTCTTTAAAATGAAAGAAAAATAATCAGCCTGGCATTTTGAACTGCAATCAAGACTAAGAGAAAGCTGTTTGCAGCCCCTGGTCAGAGGGGAATGAGGAAAAAAGAAAATCATAGGACAGAGAATGAAATCCACGTAACAAATTATTTCCCAAAAGCCATGTAATCCTCTAAATTAAGCTCATGTATTTTCTGGCTTTCATTTTATATGAACATTGACCAGAGAAGTGATGTATACAGAAACATTTTCAAACGGTCTGTAATTTGCATGCCATCAATTTTACTTCTAACTTTGAAATGGGAGGAGAGTGAGACTGACATCTATGGTGTGCAGATCATGGTGTGCTGGGCAGTCCAAGAAAAAATTTGTCAAAATCTCTGAAGCTGTCAAAATACGTTCTGCGAATTTGGAAAATACTAGCAGTGCTAATGCAACCTCAAGAGAAAAACAGAGACTTCAAAGTTAAATCATGAGATTAAATTCCCTTCTCCCAGCACTACAAA